GAAAACTAAATTTTGATCTAATGGTAAGTATCAAAGCATTTCCTTCTTGTTAAATTCTAAAAATATTCATAACCTTCTTTGTTTGATCTCCAAAAGAAATGTTGAACGTTTAACGATAGAACGAATTCCTTACGTAAAGTTCGTCATTAAAGTAGAGTTCGATTCGCGCTCCCAGCATACAGGTAGTCGCGTGAATGAATACTGAAATCGAAATGAAAATCGAGGAAAGGTCATGCTCGCGTGCCAGAAATAACACGGCCGTGGCGTTGACCCACATTGTTTTTGAAACGCGATTAAACTCATTGAAAACGACCGAAAGTAAATTAATGGCCATAGGCCGCGTAACCACGAAAAGCGAGGCAAAAAGCGAAACAAATTTAACGAGCTGTGAATTATGAAAATCGGTGACAGGCCGACGCTTTTAAATACTCTCTCTTTCTCTCTCTTTTCTCTCTCTCTTCCTCTCTCTCTCTCTCTCTCTCTCTCTATCTCTATCTCTCTTTCCCGACCTCCTCTCCACCCCGTTCATCGGGCGCCAATCGGCACCCCATTACTCTCTTTCCCACCCTCACCTCCTCATCAGAGTTTGGTTTGGGCGCGTGCCAGTAAATCGAAACGATTCAAATGCAAAATAATAATAAAACAGTGGGTTCTGTCGATGGCCCGTAGTAGGTAGTCGTGATGCTGGTGGTGGTCGGAGGCAAGGGGAGGCGGGGTTGAGAGCGCATTAACGCAATTAACCTCCAATTAATAACACATCAATTGACACCCGGTCAACTTGTTGCATCGGAGCAGCCCGATAATATGCTGAACGCGTGTGAGAACTCAATGTGTACGTACACAAAGGGGGTGGTGTGTGAGTACGCGAACGTGTCTCTCTGCGTATAGAGAGCTGGATACGTAGGCGTTAGGCTCGTAGAGACACATATACACATATGTACCTATATATATGTACGACGAGTCAATGTACATATGTAAGTGGAGGCGTCGTCCTTCGTAGTCGCGAGTGCATGCCGAGAGCGAGGGTTGCGTTTACCCACATAGAGGATAATAAAGAGACGAATGTTAGAATAATTTCGTAACAAGGGGGAAAGAAAAAAGCAACGATGCATGGCGTCGTCCTATAAGGCAGAATGTGAAAGACGGAAGAGTCCACGAAGTTACCACCGACGGACATGGGCTGATGACCATTGTATAGTTCTCATGCAACCCCCTGCGAACACTCTCACCGCATGATACCAAATAGAGGGAAAGAGACGGAATGAAATTCCGATGCACATGCCGTTGGCTTGTAACCCCAACAACGACGACGACGACGACGACGACGACGATGACGACGATGACGACGATGACAACACCATGTGGGGTATGAACGCCATATGATGTTTCGATACGGACAACACCACCTTGCCCGGCACTTCTGTACCTACTCATGGAAGTAAAAGGAAAGAGAAAAATCGAAAAATATAATCATCTCTTTTCTATTTAACGACGCTTCTTTCCTTCCCTTTCTCTACCCTTCGGTTACACCTATTTCATACCATCCTCTATCGTTCACAATCGCCATTTAAGGATACCGTCGCGCATCGATCGCATTATCTTAATGTCTCCTGATATTAACCGAGCAAATCGGTGATGTGTCGCGATCATTAAACGTTTAACAGAAATGTTGCTGCATTCGTACGGCAGAAAGATAAAGCAACAGAGCGTGGTAACGACCGTCAGTCTCTCGCGAGATAGAATACATCAAAATCGGTGATGGAAATTACTAGGAATTTTAGTAACAACCTTTTATGAATATCACCAAATCGATCGAAATTATCGGCGTATCGTATTGTTTAGCGACTGCTAGTCGGAAATTCGCTCCTCCTTTAGCGTCCCGTTGACGGTGTGAGGCGCGTTCTGTGTACGTACCGAAGCCGGTAATGCTTCGGGCATATATAACACGCACACGATATCCGATCACTGTAAAACACGAAGAACGGATTGCATGTGAACCTGTGCTCGGTTTTAGCGATCGATGATAAAGAGATTAATGAACGCCTTCCACGAGTCGGTACTTTTGTTCGACGGGTCTCCTCCTTAATTACCTGAGGTGTTGTACCTAGAACTTATCAGGCTCGATAGTTTCGAACAATAGCTATACTCTACGGGCCAGTCCTGCGAATTTTCCTAAAGCGAATTGTAAAAGCACGTTTATATCTACTCGACACGGTTGCCTCTCACCCAACTTTTAACTTTAACTTCAATGAGCTCGCTTCGATGAATCGCCTCTACCTGCCGCCATTTCTTCCTTTCCTTTTTCCCTTTTTTTCTTTTTTTCGCCTACTATTTTATCGAGGAACCCTACCACCATGGTCGTCGCAATCACCCTTCGAAATCAAGTCACCTGCTTAAACGGTAAATGTCGTATGACGCACAGGAAGTGGTTGTTGGTGGCTCATCATGTGGTCTGAATGCTGTCTAAAGTTCTTAACCAACGAAGAAAATATTTTTAAATACCTAATTGTAGACGAAATTTGTCGACACATTTTCGATCCGAAATATTTTTTATTTAAAAACATTGTCGAGTTCTTAAAAACGAGAAAAACTACTCGTGCACGCCATAAACACGATTCAATGGACGTGCATGAATATACAAACAAGGTAGACATAGAATAAACGTAATTAACTCGGCGTATATACTTTGAAATCGACGAAATGTGGGAGAGTTCCTGAAGCCATTTCCGGCCAGGGTACCGGCACCTCTTTTTGTTAGTCCCACGCATGGCGGCACACGGGGAAGTAGCGTTTAAAAGTAGGAAGAACAGAAGTTTCTGTGACCCCCCTCGAAGCTCTCCCTTCTTTATGCCATACGCGCCTAGGTACGAGACTCTTGTAGACGTTATCGAGCTCGAGACCATATGTTATCTTTTGAGTAAGCAATTTGCGGATGTCCCTATCTTATCCTCTTTGCATCCTTCTTCCAATAATGACAACGAAACGATCTATGTACATATGTATATACATATATAAATATGTTCCTCGCTTCTCTTCAACTTGCATGCAAAAGTACTGTAACTAGTCGTAATTGAACGCTTGCGCAATACCAATTTAAAAGTCTGATGAAAGGAACACGAGACTATTTACGATATTAAAAGCAGTTTATTTGCATTATCACCAATAATAAAATCAACAAGATTAATTGTACAAATAATTAAATCGATACAATTTTATCTTAAACTAAAGATTCAAAATCATTTTCGGTAGATACTTACAAAAAAAATAATGTATTTAAAAAAGACCTGTTGGTCTCGCGTTTCTCTATTTATGGGTGAAGAAAAAGTAGCTTAACCAAGGATTAAGATCTAGTATAAAAAATATAGTAGTGAATCATTTTAAAGTTTTCTATAAACAAAAATGACTCAATACGAAGATCGAAATTTGTTCACGGAGATAGAACACTCTGTTTCGCGTGCACTGTATTAGTAGAATTTTTTTCTAAGGTTTCCCGTTTGTTGCGGTAGCAACGATAGGCATGTGTATTATGCACACGCATTCCTATCACCACACCCTGTCGATTTATCGAGACGAGTACTCGCGCATCCTCGAACGAAGGCAGTTGGTACGTGAGCGCGAACTATGGAATATGTCGGCCTATTGAGCGTAGGTGCTTTAAGCTGCTCAGCTGTTGCTTCGAAGCTCACGTACTTGATGCACACAGAGCGCCTACGGCGTTCGTGTTAGTTTCTACACGGAGTTGTCACATTAGACCGTGTGTGTACAAGCCGCTTGCGTTTACGCACTTATACGCATCATCGATTCAACCACGAGAATGACAGAAAGAGAAAGTACCTACACGATGAAATGTTTCAACGTCATCATACACGTTGAATGTTTAAAAATGGAAAGTCAAATGACAAAGAATCATTGTTACGAATATTTTCAAAAAAATTTATTCACCATTTTTTGGGCGAAACATATTTCATAAATAATGTAAAAATACCTTTATAAGAAATATATACCTACTTTTTCTTTTTCTTCTTGTCTGACTTATAAGACCCGAAGAAATAGAATTTATTTTTACGATTGTTTAGTAGTAAGGACAAAAAATAGATTGTTGTACGTTCATAGAATTGCGAATAGACAAGAAGCATATATGGTCGTGAATGTTGTTGAGGAAAGTTAGAATTGTAAGAATGGGGTTATTAATATAGACACTCCTAGACCGATTCACGATGAGCGTGGCATTAATTATTTTTTTCGTGCCCCTTTCTTCGGGAGCGAGCATCGACCGACGACGACGACGACGACGACGATAAAGACAAAGACAAAGAGTCGAACTCACACACGAAGAGTCGACTCAACTAACGTAAGCTACTTATACTACGACGAATAAGATATTCAAAGCAAGCAATTTTCTTATGACCACGACTTCCAGGCGCTTTTTCTCATTATGTTCTCTTCTTCGGTGTTCAGAATGTTTCTACGATGCCAAGGGTCGTCTTCTTCTTTTCTTCATTGGTCACCGTATTTTTAAACGATCACTGCCACTGGTTACTCCCTACCCCCTTTTTGTTCGCGATCGTACGTTGAACCGACATAGCATATCGATCGATGACTCGGTTGCGTGAAAAAGAAGAAATATGTTATCTTAAAGTTCGACGACCGGCCCTTTAGCTTTAAAGATTCTTACGAATTCGAAAGAGAGATTGCGAGAATTGTCTATAGCTGCGTGTTACGCCTGTCAGACGATGTTTCAGCAAACGCTTTCTTCCGTTAGAAAAAAAGAAAAAGAGGGGAGAAAGAGAGAGAGAGAAAGGGAAAGAATGAGATGAAAAAAGGGACAGAAAAAGAGATAAAAAGAGAGAGAGAGAGAGAGAGATCGACCGAAATAAAGTATAGCTATATACATTTCTATAATGGTACGGTTCGATCGTTCGTAGAAGATCGTATTCGAGTGGAATATACCTACTCTTGGATAGTACGCGTATATAAACTTTCGTACCTTTGATTTTCAGACGGATAGAGGAACCGCAGCAGCAGGGAAAATCGAGACGAGGGAGCGAGGGGCACCCAGCCCTTTGGCGAGTTCGAAGGATGCAGCTCCCAGGCGGGAGCACGAGAATTCCGCCCGCGAGAGCTCCGGCCTCCTCCGTTCGATCGGTGGTCATAAACAGCAACAACATTTACAGTATTAGAAGCAGCAGCAAAAACAGCAGCAACAGCAGCAGCAGCAGCAACAGCAGCATTGAAAGCTGCAACGAAAGCACGACGATACACGACAGCGAGTGCGTATGTGGTAGCATAATCGACAAGAGCAATAGCAGTGATAAAAATAGTAACAATAACGATAAGAAGATTAAGAAGAATAACAAAAAAAAGGAGACGTGCAAGGGTAACAGGAAAAGCTTTAGCGATAAAAACTTTAACGGAAGAAGAAGCGGCGTTGCAGGTCATTTTTATCGTCGTACCGAAAGCTCTGATAAAGAAAGGAACGGCATCGTTGGAAACGGACGGACGAGTCGAGCAGTGAAGGAAAGACATCATCTCGTGGTGGCTACTACGAGGACGAACCGCCGACACCGAGTCACGAAGCATCATCCCCTGGTGTTATTGGCGTCGGCCCCACGGCGGAAGGTGCGGGGCGAAGAATAGTGAAAAGAAAACCAAGGAGAATCGAAAAACGACGGAAAAGGAGGAAGACGAAGAAGAAGAAGAAGAAGAAGAGGAAGAAGGTGAAGAAGAAAGAGACGAGGAGGAAGTCAAAGTCGTCCGGCAGGAGAAAACAAAAGGGTGACGGCCTCGTCGACGTTGTCGACGACGGTGGCTGTGGAGGTGGAGGAGGAAGAGAAGAAGAAGAAGAAGGAGGAGAAGGAAAAAGCGAAGGAGGAGGAAGTAGAGGCGGCGAGGAAGAGGAGGAGAAGGAGCAGGAGAAGGAGGTGGAGGAGGAGGAAGAAGAAAATAAAGAAGAGGAGGAAGGAGAAAAGGTGGCAACGAAGGCGAAGGCGAAGGTGGTGGAGAGAGAAAGCAGTCGCCGACTCAGCTAGTAGTAGTAATAGAAGCAGAAGTGGGGATCGCGCGCGTCGGAAGGAACGAGAGAAGGAGAAGGAGCAGAGTAGTCGGTGGTGGGGGAAAGCGAGAGTGCAGAGAAGCAGAGGCAGCGCGTTGAGCCACGAGGGGGCTATTCGAGCGAGAAGGGGAGGGGTGGCAAGGAGCCCTGGCGGGGAGGGGACGCGGAGGCCTTCGGGGGGCCGACCAACCAGACGGCCGATGATGTCATCGGAGGAGGAGACCGAGTGTTTCGCCCTCTACGGAGCAACCACGGAAAGCAAGCAACAGCAACTCCTGAAGAAGCAGAAGCGCACTAGGCAGCGCGTGGACGCCGGCGAGCCACGCAACAGCTACTCGAGCATACCGAACTTTAGCTCTCGACCATCCTTCCTCGGTGGTGGTCTGTACGGCTCGATCTTCAGTGGTAGCGGGCCAACGTCGCATCAACAACAACAACAACAACAACAACAACAGCAGCAGCAACAACAACAGCAACAACAACAACAGCAGCAACAACAACAACAACAGCAACAACAACCTCAGCAACCACAACTTCATCAACATCACCACCAGTCACAGCAGCAACAGCAGGCTGGAGCGGCTGGTAGTCAAGGTCACTTGGGGGCAGCGACGACGGGTCCTACAACCCAAAAGCATTCCGCCCACGCGGCCTTCGGCTTCTTCGGGGCATCGGGCTTCGGCCCCGCCAAGATGCTGAACGAATTACTCGGACGGCAGGTCAAGCAGGCCAGTGATGCTGGCGGTTCGCCGCCAGAGGGCGGACATGGGATGACCGGTGCCGGCATGGATCCAAACGCGAATCTCCAACCGGGGGCAGTTGTCAATTGTGACGATCCCGCCACGGCTGAGTTAACACAACACATGCTCCGTGATATTCTCCAGGGTCGAAAGTTACCCGCCCTTTCCGTGCAAGAACAACCAAACAATAACAACAATATACATAATAACAATAATAACAACACAACCGCGGATATCCTCAAGTCCCAGCAACAGCACCAGCAAAGTCCCCAACAGCAGCAGCATCAACAAAATAGTGATAGTGCGCGCAGTGGAACAGTGCAGAGTGGCGAAGAAGAAAGTGGTGATGGAAATAACGTCCTTGTGAATAGCACGAACCATAGTGATCGTGATACGGTGATGCCTGCTGACGCGGAAGATAGCGCCGAGGACGCCGCCTCCACGGTACGTGCCATGGAGGAGGCATTCGCCGAGGTAGGCATCGAGCCTGGTACCAATCTCGATGGCTCCGATTGCGATCAGAGTTTGCCACCCAGCCCCACGGCTCCGAGATCGGCCTCGGTGTCGGTCAAGGAAGAAATTCAGGACTCTTTGAACATCAAGCGTAGTCCTAGCCATTCTCCTTGTCCGATCATACCTAAAACCGAGACTAGTTCTCCTACAACGGAATCAAAGCGCGCCCGGGTGGAAAACATTGTTAGTACGATGCGCAGTAGCCCTGCACTTCAGCCTACTCCAGTAAACGGTTGTAAGAAGCGAAAGCTTTATCAACCGCAACAACAAACCGTTCACCACGTTCTCCAACATGGTGTCAATGACACCATGATGGATTACGAAGAAGAAACCGAGGAAGAGGACGATCAATCGACGATAAAACAAAAACGAAAGCAAAAGGCATCTCTAAAGAGTCAGCTCAAGATAATGCACGAGCAGCTCGCGGAGATGCAAGCTAAATATTTGGAATTATCGAGCAAGGTGGAGCATGACACGAGTGAGAGTAGTGACGCACCCGCTAGTCCGCAGCAACTGCCTGAACCACCTCCTAGACCACCGAGACCTCACCCACCGGCGTTTAACGGCCTCCAGACCCTTCCACCTGACCATCCACATGCCACGGCAGCCGCCATGTATCACATGGGTCACAAATTGTACCTTGGACATCAGCAGTCCGCACTCGAGAGGATGAAGCAGCATCAGGAGGCGACAGTGAGACATCAACAACAACAGCAGCAGCAACAGGTGCAACAACAGCAACAGCAGCAGCAGCAACAACAACAGCAGCAACAGCAGCAGCAACAGCACCAGCGACAAAGTTCTCCGCAACCGCCTAGTCAAGCGCAGCAACCGAATCAGAGCAATACCGGACCGTCCACGCCGCAAACGCCACAACAGCCGATCAGTAGTAGCACGCCCTTGCAACAAAAGGACTTGAAAGAAAGGTTAAATGTTTGCATTGGTGCAAATGCAGCGACAGCTTCTTCGGGGCCACACATAACCGGCGCGGATCTCGAAATTTTGGCTAACATTCTTAAAACAGAAATCACTTCGTCGTTCACTACTTTAATCGACAGTATAGTTGCGAGGTTCGTTCAGCAAAGGAGGATCGTCGGTAAGCAAAGTGAAGCGGCACAGGCTGTCACTGAGCAAATGAGACAGGAACTTCTAATAGCGACTCAAATGCTCGAAAGGAAATCGCCAAGGACGAAGGTAGTCGATAGGGGAGCTCCACAACCTACCGGTGGCCCAAACGGGCCACGGGGGCCCCTAACCGGTGGGCCCCCTCCAACACAACCAACGGCTTTTTCCCAAATAGGGCCCATGGGTGGTGGGCACCATGGTCCTCTCTCTGGTCCCACAGAAAATAATTTAAATCAGATGAATCAGCTACCCCCGCACGTCAGGCCCAACGTTGGAATGTTTCAGACACCGATGCCGCAAAAATTATACGGCATCGGACCGATACAGTCGCAACAGCAGCAGCAACAGCAACAACAGCAGCAACAACGCGAACAGCAGCAGAGGGAGCAACAACAACGTGAACAATATTGCAATCTGAGGAACGACGAGAGGGAAGTCAGGGATTCGGAACAGAATGAGGCTCTCTCCCTCGTCATGACGCCGAAAAAAAGGCGGCAAAAGGTATTTTCACGCTTTCTTTGGGTTTCAAGTGTCGGTTACGTTAGTTTTGAGCTCATCTAAATCTTGATTCATATCTATCTATGTACCTACAATCTTGCAATACGATGGAATAATTCAGGTATAAATCAACGTTTGGTGGGTTTCGTGAGTTAGACATAGAACCAAATATGGTTTTCGGTTTTCTTAACATAATAAAAGATTTCAATAGGTGTCCGGAGACCTAAAAAATGTAGCTCATTTAGAAATTTAACGTAAGGGAAGATCAATGAGCATCGTTTTTCAGGTAACCGATACGAGAATCACACCAAGGACTGTATCAAGAATTCTTGCGCAGGAGGGCAACGGATCTCAAGGAGGCAGTGAAAGTCCTCCGCCAGCTCCACCACCGAGACCTTACCACGCACCACCACCAATGCTGCCAGTGTCCCTGCCAACAAGCGTAGCGATACCAAACCCGAGCCTTCACGAAAGTCAGGTCTTCTCGCCGTACTCGCCGTTCTTCCCGGGAATCAACCCCCCACGTGGGGGCCATGCAGGTCAGGTACCAGCACCGGGATCGCATCAGCTGCCTGCGAGTCCTCCAAGTGGACGCGTAGAACTCAGGGATTCTCCTCCACTCTCGCACGCCCCAGCCATGTTGCATCCTGTTCTACTTGCGGCTGCACAACACAGCAGTCCGGAATATGGTCACCTAAGGATGGACAACAACGACCGGGTCAGTGATTGCAACTCCGGAGACATCAGCTACGACGGAATTCAGCCTACAATATCCTTTTCTAATACTACATTTAAAAAAAAAACTCATCTTTTTTCTTTGGTCTAATATCTAAGTATCAATAATGATTAGAGAATCTATTCCACGCAATCTTATATCGCGAGTATTTTTTCCGAGTAGTAAACGTAGAAAACAAACGATAACTCGCGGCAAGTGCGAAGGAAAGTTAAGAATTGAAAATATACGAAATAGGACTAAAAAGCTGTACGACGCTTAGGGATATTTTTTATGGTGGAGGTAGGAGAGAACTAAAGGGTGAGTTTCGTTGAACGCGAAAACTTTGAAACGCGGCAGCGAGTTTTTGAGAGAAAGAGCTCGTTCGCTCGCAAGAAGAGCAGTCGCCGCGATGCTGGGGAAGGTAGGATAGAGGGGGAGGAAGAGGGATTGGAAAGAACGCGAACTAGCTAGCTAGAAAGTAAATGAGTGGGGAGAGAGAGAAGAAGAAGAGAAAGCAACAAGAGTGGGAGACGGAGAAGGAGAGAAAGAGAAAGAGTGGAAGAGTGAGAGAGAGAGAGATGGAGGAAAGAGGGAGGACTCGGACGAATGTTAGATTAGTTTGCCACGGAGTTAGGCTAATGTTGGATGCACCTACGAGTAGAGTTTGTCCGGCAACAACGCACCAAGCCGAAAGTTCTTTGCCTACTACTCGGTCTGCCCTCAGCCTCGAGTCTCACCCAACTTCGCAAGCCAATAATCTGTCCCGTAATTTCGGAATTCAACCACGGAAACGAACTGAAGGTGGAAGAGGCGAAGGAGGAGGAGGTTCTCCGCGAACTTCCCATCGCGAACGTCTCCTCAACTTATCGTAGATAATCCTCTTCTCTCTCTCTCTCTCTCTCTCTCTTCTTCCTTTTCTTTCTTACCCTCTCTATTCCTAGAATCGAGATTATGAAAGTCGATCAACTTAGTTTCTCCACGTATCTCGTTTCTTTCGACTTCAATCGAGTTTCCTGCTTCTTCCTTGCTCGGTGTTATCACTATAACATTCCTGCCTAGTAGTCGACAACCTCCGCTCGCGCGTTGAAATCTTCGACGGAAACGTGATAGCCCGTAACAGTTTAGTAAGTATGTATACGTCTTGACTAGTGAGTCTCGGTAACTCTGAGAGAGAGAATATTCAACAATAACTTTGTAGAAAAGATAACTCGTGATAGAGATAGAGAAGAAAATTAAAGTGTCTGTTTTATAATAAAACAATATAATTATATAGATATATTATCTTCGCGTTCGACTTTACGCAGTCGAGGTTAGTTCTATGTATAAAAGAAGAAGGAATTTTAAAACAGGCTTCTATTAAAAACTCTATCGGCCAGCACGCATCCGTGATCCCGATGATTTTTCTCGGTGCGAGTTTTTCCGCGTCTCTCTTTCAAAGTCTCAAACGATGCACCGCGGCCACGGGCTGACCCGATGATACGCTTTAACAGCATAAAAATAGCTATCGTATCCGGCTTCGAAGAGAAAGAGAGAGAGATAAGGTATGTTCCTAGTACGATCGTCGGAAAATGATCAACCAGCGCGAAAAGTTCAGCAGCTCGATTATCGCACATGACTCACCTTGCTTGCAGCTTCGCATCGGCTTCTCAGTTTTTGAAAGAGCTTACGGATCCAGAAAGAGAAAACGAGAAGGGCTGAACGTTATAGGTGGGAGGAGGAAAGCCTTGTGTGGGAGCGCGAAAGAACATATACATGTATGTTTCCGTGTGTATGTGTGGGAGACGATGGTGCATCGTCAGAACTGCAACATCGCCGTGTCGATCCGATCGGCAACACGACGTTCTTTGCCACCTTTTTAGTCGGCCTTTGATGTAAAATCAATGGCGCATTTTTTACCTCTCTCTTTCTCTTTCTCTTCTCTACACTCCTTCTCTCTGTGGGGTAGGTCGAGCGCGTCGCATGTATCGTCGTGGCCGTAAGCTTTCTCTCCTCTCTCTCTCTCATTTTCTATCTCTCTCTTTCTCTCTCTCTCTTTCTCTCTCTCTTTCTCTCTCTCTTTCTCTCTCTCAATTCACCCTCGTCTGCAACGTTTCGCCATGGCCTTCGCGCCAAATATATTCGCGAATTTTTCCTTTCGTTTTTCTTGCACGGAAATGTTCTCCAACGACTAAACTACCCCCGCATATTCGATATAATATAAGGATTTATGAGAAAATCGAGCTTATCGTGGTCGAGAGTTTTTCGGAGTGCCACATAGCTTTTTAAATTTCTCGTTATCATAATTGGTTAGTTTTATTCCTTGAATACTTATACTAGAAAATGTGCATTATTCTTCTTAAAGAAAAGAATTTAATATCGGATGTTTACTTTCCTTCGTTTTAGAGTAACAACTCTTATTTAACAAATTAGTCAAAAGTTTCTGAAGAAAGATATACGTCTCCGTGAAAGTTCGAACATAAGAATTAACCGAATAAGAATGCGATGAAACCACATGAAGAGATCCTATTACTGGTAAGGAGTCGGTAAGGCTTCCGTTGAAGATGCGGCCAATCGTAGGTCAACCTCAGCGAGAACGTTAGACCCCTACTACCGCCTACCATGGGGATATACCCACAGTTTGTACGATTTCTAATCCAATTTTATACGAAGGAAACACGATTAAGTTTGAGATTTTCTCGTATACGATACAAATTTCTAGAGCTCTATGATCCTTCGACTTACGCGTCTTCGATTATTGATACTTACCTCTTATATTTATGTACACATGTATCGTAAGAAAAACTTGCATGATATTTCCTTAACCACGGTGTACTCGTCGACGCTGACGCCGATGCATCTGAGGAAAGCGAAGCTGATGTTCTTCTGGGTAAGGTACCCATCTTCGGCAGTCCTCAAGATGTACTTCCCCGATATCAAATTTAATAAGAACAATACAGCGCAGCTGGTCAAGTGGTTCTCCAATTTCCGGTAAGTAAACTCCAATTTATGCAGATTTATAACGTTGTCATATTTTTCTGATGAATTAAACAAGACCTAAAAATTAAATCTTACATCGATGTTGATCCAGTTAAAGCATGTAAGACGAAGGCAAATTTAATCGGAACATTTCTCGATGTCAAAGGTCTCGATTGGATCCATCGTAAATTCTAGTTTCTTGTTCGTACGTAATCCAAATTTTCTTTTTCAATCTAAAAGATTCGTTCTTTCGAATAAAATCATGTAAGACGTCTCTCGTTGGCGAAAGTTCCGTGTATGCAAACGAGAACAAGGTTTTCGAGGGCTCGACCACTCCCTTTACAGAAACGGTCAGAGCCCAAGAGACGAGAGTCACGATGGGTGTGTCCGAATCTTAATTACCATCCCCTAGTAGCAGCTGGGGATAAGTAACGTATCCACACTGCGGCAGGTACGAGAAGGCGTAGGAGTTTGTGGGTACCGACACATACCGACCAGTAGGCATTAGCCTGATTATAATTAGGCTGAGTACAGTACAGATCCAAGATATAAGACAAACGAAGGCTCACGCGTGATCTCGATGCTACGTTATTACTATTTTCTTATCGCAAGAATACGCGCCTTTCTACCCTTAAAAAGTTCATAAGTATTTCTCAACTTGAAAATGCTAGCCGTCATGAATAGCTTGCCCACCTTACCGTCTTCTACCTTAACGATTGTCCTTCAAAAAAGAAAAAAAGTAAAAAAACGAGAAAGAATATGATACGATACGTGCCGTAGTAAAAAGTCTAATCAATTACTAAAATAGATATTATATATAGTAAGCTAAGTAGGCTTATCATAAATACATAAACTGAGAGGGAGAGTTTGTAGTTTTTCTTATGAAATATAAGATTAAGATAGTACATGGGATTTACGAATAAGCTGTACACTAGAACGTAAACGTCCCGATTAATCAGTCTCATAAACTCTGGCAACGGCGGATAAAAAACACAAGTATACTCGTTTCCGTCGTGGTACTATTACTATCATTTGCATTAAACTTAGCGCTGGTAGAAGCATCAAAATACGCGAACAGGATCTTGTCCATCTTGTTACTGTACGCCGAGTGGCTTTCTCTTGCATACTCATTCGCTTATCTTTCGGTTCTCTGAAAACATTGTCACAGCCGACATAAAAGAGAGGGACAGAGAGAAGGCAACGGGAACGTGTTGTAGAAGTTAGAAATGCTTGGCAAAAATTGCATCACGCTCAGCTTCCGGGCAAGGAACAAAGCTAATTACTAGCTAATATATTTCAAGTTACATTTTCGTCCTGTCGTTTCGTTGCAGCCTGCGGGGTTCGTTTTTTTCTCGTCCGATTCTCTCTCTCTCTTTGCCGTTTCTATCTCTACCCCCATTCTCTCTATCTGTCTGTCTGTCTCTCTCTCTTTCTTTCTCTCTCTTGTACTCTTGTCCGCTTGTTCTCTCGCGTGCAATTTTTTTCTAACATGTTCTTCGTATTCCAACCTCCGAGTATCAAGGGAGACAAGGTCTCTTGGCGAGGCACGAGAAAAACCTTTAAAATTTCCTCTTTCTTTTTATTTTCCTTTTTTCTTTTTTAAGAAACAAAGAAACGAATAAAAAGTCTCGATACAAGTAAATTTGTATACTTCAATAATTTCAACGACATAATACGACATTGCGTTCGTTTTCTACTTTGCATAAATTATTTTCTATTATATTATTGAATAAATTTTTATTAGAAAAAATCTTCTAAAAATCATCCTTTCCAATCTTCTTTTTTTTTGTCCAACTTGTAGAGAATGCAAAAAAAATTACAAAATGTTTTCTTCGTGTCATCCTCAGAGACATTTTTCGAAAAGTTATTGGGCACGAAGTGTTGGGTAGGTAGCTCGTTTCCTTTTGTTGCTAATCACGTAAGAGTTTAGCTGGACTTTTTCTTGCTCGTGTTCTCCAATTGGCGCCGTCGAGCGTGCTCGATCTGATAGCCTAATGCACGGCTTCCTATGCGGAAATACCTCGGCACATTATTCTACGCTCCTACGTATACACCCTAGCCTCTATCAGCTCACCCCTCGACACCCTACCAACCATCGTTGTACTTTTGTCACGAGAACTACTCGAAAGCGGCACCAACGACGAAGGCTTTACTTTACGACGCTATGTGTATCCGATTAGTTCTTCGACATTTTATCTTTTTCGTCTCTCTTTCTTTTTATCTGACCAAAGCAACATTGATCCACCCTTCGATAAAATTCTCAATCGAAAGTAGATCAATTTTTTTTTAATTTAACATTGATCGATACTTCCGCCAGGTATATACGAAATATTATCGAATAAAAATTTCTAAATTGAGAAGTAAGAATAATAAGGATCGAAAAATGATTTGACAAGAAAGAAAATGAATATTCGATTGACATTATTTCAAATTAAAAAATCGCGTATTTGACAAATAAATAGAATAAAAAAACAATCTCTAGAATGATATCGTTGTAACAAAGAGAAAGAGAGAGAGAGAGAGAGAGAGAAGAAAAAAGAAAGAGAAAGAAGGAAAGAAAGGAAAAATGCGTTGAGAAGGAAGGAACGAGGCGAGACGATTACAAAGCGATCCTTCGCACCCCATTTTCTCACGCTCGTGTCGACTCGAAAGCGTATGGATGTCTTACGGCTGGAGAGGGKGAGTCCTCGAATATCACGCGTGCATCATCGGATCTGCTTATGCCAAGGATATATTGACAGCCTTCGTTCGATGAAGCTAGCCGGGGGGTGATTGGGGTCGTGTCGGTGGCGGGGGTTGAAAGAGGGAGAGCGCAAACTCGCCTGTCTTCCTCGTGCCACCGTCTCCCTATCTTCGGGCATCTCTCTTTGTCTGACGTATTCCGAGTATGCGTGGAAAAGAGAGAGAGAAAGAAAGAAAGACAGACAGACAGACAGACAGAGATCGAGAGACAGACATAGAAAGAGACAGAGAGAATGAAAAGATAGCGAGGCGCGGACTGGGGTTAACTCGTTATCAGATCCCACGTTGGGACACGCGACACTGAGGTAGCAGATCCTATCGCCGGAATGGAAGAAATTTTATGTCGTATAATGGACAACGAACACACACTTGCACACATGCATACACAACACATAGTTAAGTTTCCCTTTAAAATCTACTTCGCACGAGAGTTCTAACGCTATCTCTCTTTCGGTTGTGTATCGTGAAAAAAAATCCTTTAACTTTGGACTTATTCCTATTTTCTAATCTAATACTTTGACTTTTCAAATCGCCAAGTAAAAGTTATATATATATATGTTTCGTTTTAATCTATAAACTGATAATGTAATATCTTCTTTGATAATACGTTCAATTCAATGGTTGTGCTTGACGGAATAGTTGTGTATTATATATTCAATGTGAATTAAAATAAGAATATATATATCTATATATACAGTATTTATACGTTTCCATCTTTAGATTTAAAGTAAAGTAAAAATAAGCAAAAGAAAAAAAGGGTTGATTACATTGGGATAAAAATAATTGAACTTAATTAATGGATATATAAATGGCACCCGATCGGTTAGCGGACGAGCCGCAAAAATTTACGGTTCTTGAAGATTAATAAAAGAAAGTCAGCGCGAGAGATAAATAAAGGAATCGGAAGATCTCTCGAATCCCGTAATAATGACGTGGCCGATCAAATTTACACCGTGACTTTCTCGAGGGGGTTGTTTATCGTAGCCAAATACTCGATAATTCCCTCTAAAGAGGACGACCGTTAGTCTACAAGCCCTTTTCTCTCTTACCTTCTCTTACCTTCAGTTATTTTCTTTCCTATCTTTTTTTAACTTATTATCCGTCTTCTTCGTCATTATCAATTCTCGATCGTACTTTGTGTGGCGAGCACACAAAAACATCTGTCCTTTTGTAAGAAAATACTTTGAAGGCTATTTGGATAATAACAGAGTAATTTTCTAAGTAGAAATTATTCTTTTCTCTGATTCTAATCTCACTGTCTCGATCGTACAATACATATAATCGATAACCTAGAGAAACATAGAAACACTGAACGCAACATCATTTCACTAAAATACTAGATGCTAGATATCTTACTTTATTCTACAATAATGATAAGAAAAAGAAATGAAATAAAAAGAGGTCCCTTAATAACGGTCTAATAAACGTCTTTAAGCACTATACTGAATCGCCATAAGAGAATTTTTTTTTCACGTAAAGTCTATGAGTTCCTTGATAAAAGTTGGGAGTATAGAAAGAAGACCGACTCAATTAAAAAGCCAAATGAGATGTCGGTTTACCGAAATCTTGAGAACAAACGAAGAAGAAAAGCACAAGAGAAATAAAAGAAAGAGAGAAAAAAAGAAAGAAAGAAAGAAAAAAAGAAAGAAAGAAAGAGAAATACAAAGACAAAAGTGGTAGGAAATCTCTCCACACACGGGACCGGGAGGTTTTCTCCGGTTCTTCTCTTCCTTCTCCAAGCTTGTGTTTTAATCCCACAAGATTGTGCATGCCAGCTGAAAGTGGGATGGAGAGAAGCGAGGTCGTCATAGTAGTAATAGTAGTGATGGTAGTAGAAGTAGTGAAAGTAGTAACAGTAGTAGTAGTAGTAGTAGTAGTAATAGGTGAGTCAGGTTAGCTTGGCATAGGAAGGCGTGCGTGGGGTAGTCAGATGGTAAACAGCATACAGACGAGGGCCATTTAACGAAAAGGCTAGACGCGTGTGAGCGTCACGCGTGTTCTTAGGCCATGCGTGCGCTCGCGCGCACACGCGGCCACCTAGCTACCTTCGCATAGAGTAGAGCTCACAGGTTGGAAGGCTCACACGCAAGGAGGAGTAGGAGGTAAGGGGGGAGGAAGAGATGGAGGAGGACGACGAGCCATGGTTTTCTCTCTTATTGTGAGAAACAAGCTGGCTGCGAGCAAGGAAAGAGAAGAAGAGAGATGGAGGGTGGGAGGGAGGGAGGACGAGGGTTGAAACTGAGGAAAATTTCGAGGCATGACGTAGAGAC